AACCATCCCTTGCTGACTGTGGTTATGCAGATCACTGCCTGCTAATCCTGTTCCACCTGGCATGAATCCCTGATGGAGTTATGAATCAATGAGCTACTTTCCAGCCTACAGCTGAGGGACGGGGAGAATAAAAAATTGTTGCACATTCGGGAAATGAGGGGAGGTTGCTTGTAAAGACAGGTTGTCCCAATCCTAGAGTCACAAGAGAAGTACATTGACTATTTGAACTTAATATCCACACATCCCTTAAATATCGTACAGAACAACATCTTAAAACCTTAGCTTTTGTGCTCAAGGGCTGGGAGAGTCCTGACGGACCACAAGAATGGAAGAGATGTTGTCATAGTACGAGGATAACAAAGCAAGATGGTAAGAAGTGTGTATGGAAGAAGAACCAGAGAAATCTCAGGTGGCTGTAGAAAACTTTTTATTATTATCCTTAATGCATTTCAGAAATTATAATCTTTTTGGCTGGTGCCCACCGGCCTTCTGTTAGATATACTGAAAGGATGACCCTCACCCATTCCTTTGCTCAAATGTGTTCTGTTAGATGTCTTCAAAAATGTTCTATTAGGTGCCCAGGACTTGTTCAGGGCTGGACTCTGGGCTTCAGCTCCAACCAGTTGCAGCCAGGATGACCAATATTCTGGAAAATTGGGACTGCAGTTCAAAACATCTGGAGTGCACCAGGTTGAGGAAGGAAGATCTAGTGTGTATTCACCAATATTTCCTAGAAGAAGGAAATAATTCTAGGAGGAATCATGTAAAAATTATCAATGTTCTGATAAGGGCGGTGTTCACATAAAAGATATGCTTTGATATTCTTAAGACCGTTGCACTATGTGTGTGTAGTTGTGTGTGCATGCATTTTTGTTTTGCTGCTTTCCCTCACTCCAAATAAAGTTTTGCAGGAGTTCATGATGCTTCTTGGTCATAACACTCTTCTTCATTCATGATGTTCAGCTCCCACAACCTTCTGCCCCCTGTGTAGGCATTTGAAAGTCATGGACTGGGATGCAGGCAGAACATGGGACACGGCAAGTGCACAGGTGTGCTGCTGGGGTGTACACTGTGCACATCAATTACACCCACACATGCTGTGCAGTGTTGCCAACCCCACCTCCCTGGAAACATACCTGCGGATGCCCACGTGACTCTCAAGGCAAAATGAAAACCTGGAGAACTTTTACTTCAGCCTTGATGAGGAATCTCCTGCTTTATGAAGCCAACCAAAGGGACCGGTGCAGAGAAAAATGTGACATTCTCCCAGACTTTTAAAATTATGATGCTGTTGACTTTTGTACAGTTACTTGTTGTTAATACTTTTATTTATTATTTGCATTCAGTACTCACCTAATTCATTAGGCAATGTAGAACAATTAAAAATAAAAGTAAAATAAAAGAACAATCCTATGGCCTCCTGATGTTGTCTGGGGTGGGACATAGGATCTTTTAGAGTTTCAGTTGTGAGATCTTGCAATCATGCAACTGGGGCTCTGAAGGCCAAACCATCACCCTCGCCTACTCCTCACAGGCAGTGCAGAAATAACTGCATTCTCTTAGGATGCAAATATTCCTTGAAGGGGAGAAAAGGGGGCATGTCAGGGGAGGGAAAGTGAAGGAGCTGGGGCCAAGGATTCCCACTGGCATCGCAGCCTGCTTCCTTTCCTCTCCCTGCTCTGTCTAGGCAGTTGTCTGTGTGGGTGTGAGAGTGGTGATAGGAGAGACCCTGCTGCCATGCCTTGCTCAGGGCATCAGATGCACATAAGCTGCCAGGTTTGGAAACTTGTGTGCGTTGAGGGTGGAGGCAATAAAACAGCACTTAACTGACCCATCGTTATAACATTACAAACATATAAAAAGTCAACCATCATCTCTTAAAGGTAGGAAGAAGGGGAGGGGCTAAAGGCTGTTAATATATGTGTTAATTATAATTTTTAAAATGAATATGAACACACAAACACAAACAGAAGCTCTGGGATCCCTAGAAGCACGCTTGCATCAGCACCACGGAGCAACACTCCAGCCTGACGTGCCATTTAACCAGTTCCCCATCAAACCTGATAAACAAGTTATGCTGGCAAGTTGGCAAGACATATTAGAGTGCGAGGCCGACTCTTCTCATGTATAATTCAGCAACTGGGAAAACGTAACGGTTATGGCTTTTTAATATTTTACTGACTATCAAGTACAATAGAATGTCTGCAACGTTTTCACCTAGGCATTTATGAGAGCTCAGCGAATATGGCTGGATCTTTGTTGCTCATTACTGAGTTTATCTGATACGTTGATTTTGCAATATGGTATGCTTTTCTTGTTTAAGCATTGCTCTGCACTTCGTCCTTTAGGGCAGGGATGGAGCATTCACTTACCTGGATAGACAATCCATCTAGCAGACTGTCTAGCTTGCGTCTCTGTCCCTCTGTTTTCAACCTTTTGAAATGCAGGGCTTAAGTTTAAACCCACCTCCAGCATGGAACCTGCTATCACTTATCGGCAGTGTATATTAATATAGTTCCCTTTTTCCTCCTGCGTTTCTATTTACACGGCTCTGCTTCCTCTTAAAAGAGAAAGAAGGGGCAGTAATTATGGAGCCCTTTGTGAGACCCAAACTGGGTTGGAGCACTACCCAGTCTGGGATCATGATCCCACAGCTGAAGACCAATGCCCTACAAAAGCTAGAGATGGTGGCTGGAAAACCAGTGAGACAGCACCTTTACTCAGCTGGCCCGATTTTACTCAGTCAAGCACCGTGCACAGAGATGGTACAAGGTTAATAATAGTTCTAATTTGGATAGGTCTTCTCTTCTGTAACTAGCATGCTTCATACCGCCTACAATCACCCATTTATGTGGTTAGGGCACCGTGCTTGCTTGAGAGAAAGGTGCTGCTCAGTGGTACAGCATATTCTTGGCATGCAGAAGTCCCCAGGTTCAGTCCCTGGCATTCCCCTACAGTCATTCTAGGCAGTGTGAGCAGCAGCAAACCCAACTGGATATGCAGTGCATAAGCAGGTCCCGCCAAGAGGCAGATGTCACAGATAGCAGATGGTGAGGGGTGAGGAGTGAAGGTTCCCTAGCCAGTAGGGAAGAACCAGCTACCCGGAGTGAGTGGCTTTTAGCTGCAATTACTTTTGTACATGAAATGGGGCAGAGGGACACCTTGCCCTTTGCTTGAGGCAGCAAATATCTTGGGCCCACCCTTTGCATAAAAGGCCTGCACGTCTTGCATGTTTTCTCCAGCACCCCAATTCAAAGGCTTCAGTTCTTCGGCATTCAGTCGTCCTTCTGGTCCAACTTTCACAGCCGTACATTGCAACTGGGAAAACCATAGCCTTGACTTGGTTTTATTATGCCAGCTCAAAAGAAGGGGGGTGGATGCAGTAGGACAAAAGCATCCCTACATGGATGGCTTCACTCCTGCCCACAGCTGGAGGGATCATGCTCACATCATTTCCTGGGTAGCTGCTTAGCAGTGATTCCACATTTTCCCAGATGAGCAACCAATGCCCCCTCCCACAGCTGCATTTTATTCACTGTGCAGTGCCTCACAGCTGGCACAAATCCAGCAGGACCTCCATCATGAAGGAAAATTTTCCCCACCATTATCTGTCACTGCCATATGAAAATTCTGCGAGGGTGCAGCTATATGCAGAGACAATGACTGTGACCAAGCCAACGTAATACATTAGTGAATTTATTGGGAGGAGAAGGATAACCAATGCTATTAAGAGCAGTATTAAAGAGATGTGTTTTAAAGCATTTCATATAAAGCTTAGATTTATTCAGCAGAGTACAGCAATAAATACAGTATATCTCAGTTATGTATACACACACAAAAAAGTTAAGTATTAATTACAAGTTCTGCTGTTCCTAAGATCCAAAGTCCATTGCAAAGCAACAGGTGGGTTCTATGTACATCTCAGTGGATCAGTGCTATTAAAATTTACTTTTAAAAAATATTTCACATCGCTTTCTATGCAGTGTTTCTATAAGTTCTATGTACTATATGCAAATCTACAACCCCAAACCTTTTCCCCAGGGAAATCTGGGAAGTTCACATTCTCCCTAATGGCCTCAGGAATGGGACTTTTAAAAAACCTTACTGTGTACAAGTATTTAAGAAAGGATAACATACAGGATACTATACAAGTGGTCATATACAGAGGATACTGAGTAACTTCAGGACTGCAGGAAAGTATCAGCAATCAAACCAAGTTAAAAGGACTGAACCATTCTTAAACAAGAAAGACAAGTGAACCGGTACAGATTAAATATCTAATTTCTAAGTGCACTTTGTAAGCCAATAGAGTTGGCTTTAGATGCGTTTGATCAAAATGCCAGCTTTACAACCCCCTCCCCCAAATTCAATTGTCTTCTCACCAACCCTGTTTCGAAAGGCTCACCTGTCAATAGAGAGGTGCATGCGAGGAAGGAAGGACACCAAGTGTTGAACCTGGAAGTTTCCTGCTCCTGAAATTTGGCAGGTGCATCCCTTGTGAATGTAAACAGAGAAAACAGCTACAACTTGTGGCCTGCACCAGCTAGGACAGGCCAGGCGTTGTGGACCATTTTTCTGTCTAAACAAACATAGGATCACACATTAAGTGTCCCCTCTTGAAACTGTGAGCCACCTGAACTGGCCACGCTTGCGATTGTTGGTGTCATTTGGAAAAGAAATGTGAGGGCAGGGGGAGAACCCTACAAAAATCCTCATTCCAGGATCACTATGTTATAGTGACGAGATTTATTGCATTACCGAGTTTGAGCTCCGAGATAGCAGCAACAACAAACAGCACTGAGAAGGTTCCTAAAAACCCTGCTTATTTTGTTCTAGTGTAAAATAGCAGCATAGAGGAGCACTCAAGGGTACCTGGGGACAAGCACAAGAGAGGAAAGAGTAGTTTCCTTTAAAAAAAAAACCAGGGGACATTTTGAAACACACATACCTAAACATCTTGCTAGGCATATCAGCAGAGGTCTAAGTTAGCAAACGCCCATTTCAGCCCCATACATTTTATGGGCCATTTAGTCACATGAACAAAAATGTACTTGTGTTTGTACTTTTTTAAAGCTATTTTTAAGCCATTTCACCTATTTGTACACATCTACGAGACAAAGAAAAAATGTAGCTACAGTACTGTTATATACTCTTAAAAGATGGCCTTTAGTATTATAGCTTTAGCCCTATTATTGCTAGACTGAACTGAAGATTTCAGAACACTCCGCCCTATTCATAATGGATAAAACTGAGATGCTGCTTCCGATGACTGGATTTCCACCTGAGCCATCTTAAACTGGGTACACTGCAGCCATTTGCGGAGGACAGAGGAGTTCATGTTCATCTGGACTGATCCTTGCAGCATCCTAAGGCCATGGTGGTTCACATTGTTCTGAATCGCTTGCAGGCGGAGCTGCAGCCCAGCAGATAAATGCTGTTAAAATATGCAGAAGTATCATGATTAGTCTGTCCTTCTTTCCTAATGTTTCAACCATAAACCCTCAAACATCCTAGGAAACAATGATTCAAGGAAAGATAATCCTAAACTATATTGATCTGTGGTCGGTCCCGTCACCATCACCACCGTCATCATTCCATTCCATTCATGTCCCACCTCTTTTTCCTCTTGCAAGGAACCCAGTGTGGCTACAGGGCTGCATTTTATTCTTGCAATAACAACCCTAAGGAAGGTTGGGCTGAGAGTAAGTGACTGGCCCAAAGAGTCAGGGCCATAATGACATGAAGGATTTTTAGGAGCCTGATTGTTTGTTTATTGTCTTGCTTAAATAATGTACATTATTGATTGGGCAGCCAGTTAAAAAGCATTGCAGACTTCTTTGCAAGCCAAACTCCTTATTTGCAGAGGTGGAACAGATAAAAACGCCATCTAATCCATCCCCTGCTTCAAGGTAGGGACATCAACTCACCAACCAGCATTAGATTAACCTGAACAGTACAGATCAAAGCATGCCAGCAGCAGAGAGCAGGTGGGATGCAGGACGTTTTCACAGCCTGGAGCATGCAGTGGCTGGAGGGGTGGATGTGGCCTCGGAAAATGCAGGCTTTTATCCCCGCCCTGGCACAAAGTGAACATGATTCCCCTGGCATGTTGCTCTCTGCCATTGTACTGTACGCCACCAAACTGGTGCAGTAATGAAAACAGGTGGGCATGATGGGGCCCTGAGTATCTTGGATACAAAGCGGGGAAAGAATGACAAATCTAAATAGCTCTTTCCCTTCCTGTCAGTCTAAACCAGCCCTTCCAGCGCTGCACAGGGCAAGCCTGCGCTAAAGTCTGTTTCTGTGGCAGCCTTCCCCAGCCGATACGCCAGTCATGCTTTGGACTGCACAGATACAATTTCCAGGATTTCCGAGTGGAGTTGACGTTTAACACAACTTGATGGTGCCATGCTGGGAAGGCGGTTGTGAAGGCTTGTTAATACTGGCTTGTTAAACCAGTTGATGGCCTCACCAACCCATGATTGCTTAGACCGATGGAACTCCCATGTCCAGCAAACTGGGTGAGAGGAAATTTTTGCTGGCTCTTCTTCCTCCTTGCTTCCTCTTATGCTTCCCAGAATCTGTTTTGCAGGACTGGGGGGACACTCCAGAACAGTGTATGAGTTGATGCATTGTGAAGCTGTGTCTGTTCCCACCATTTCCTCCAGCAGAAAGGCTCTACTGGATCATGGTTCCTCCACCAACAGAAAAGTCCTTCCGTTCACTGAGGTTAACCCCGCATCCAAATCAATGCTTTCAGGGAAATCCAATTGCACATTATGAATGCATGAGCCAGGCATGGACTATCATGGATGCTATGGACACAGGGCCAATGTATTTGATTTCTTCAATAAAACACAACATCCGAAGATCAAGACTGTGTTGAGGAGGAGCTGGAAGGGAGACCCTACCTTTAGGTTGGACTGAATCATTGGCAGCCACATGGGGATGAGCTGATGGAAGAGAGAAACTCTGCATTAGTAAATTAGGTTTCTCCAGAATGAATTACCACTGACATGTTATTGTATTACATTTGGTCAGAAGAGGTATGACTAATGGTCTTAGTCTGAAGAATGAACTGTGAACCATGCTGGGAACATTCATTCATAAATACCACATACGGTTTTGCAGGGAGTATTGATCAAACAGTGTTCTTTTATTCTGCTGCATGCATGGATTTAGAGGCTTGTCAATTTAACAAGAACTAAATGTAAAGTACAAATGATACTTTAAAGTGCCAGTGTTTAAAAATTAGTCTAAAACAAGATATAGACGATTTTTAAAGCAAAATAAAAAAGCCCTGATAACATTTGCAAATAGCTTTCAACTAAAAAACCCCATCACTGAATTTGCCACTGCAATTCTGAATGATGTTTTCCAACACCTGAGCAGACCCAAACTGCGCAATGGGGTTTCCCCATGATCTTCTCCCCAGTCCAGATTAGTAATGTGTGCTAGTGACAGTTCCCTCAGCAGCAAATTGGGGTATCTGCAGAGGGCTGCAAAGGTAATATCTTCTTTCAGTGGCTCTGCTCCGCCAGCAGCAAGCTAGCATTGGATCCAAGCCTAGGAGATCAGCTTTCCATTTCTATTCCACAAAGATATTGCAGCAAGTGCCCATAGAACTGTTATCCCATGAAATCTGCTTCAATCTGTCCCGCACGATGCCTGCTCTGGCCATTTCCTTCATAGCACCAGTGAGATTTGAAGGAAGGGTGGATTTGTGCTGGAATTCAAAAGGTTGATCCTTCTGTGTCCAAGCCATTGATCATGAGCTGCCAGAAGGTGAAATTTAAAGGGGCCAGTATGTAGCAGCTGCTCTAATCATTGTCACTTAGCAATAACATGGAACAAGGATCTGTAACTTGCTGGCACTCACCAATACCCTAAAGAATTCTATACACATTATCTGCACTAGGGTTGTTGAACAACAGACTCGTTAGCCAATTCTGACCCTCCAGGATTTCTAGATGGTCACATTATCAAGCATTGTATTTATTTAATACATTTGAAGCTCTTGTGCATTTCCTAGCAACAATTACTAATTGCTCTCCTGGCTTTTAAACATAACTTTTCCATTAAAAAATACTATATAAAGCTTATAAGGCTCTCACAGTGCTTAGTCACTAGCAGGAAGCGTTTTAAGCCAAAAGAGGCTGGCATTTTAGGTATTTTGGCCCCACCTACTTTACCTTTCGACCCACTCATTGCTGCCCTGAGGCCCCTGAGACCTTCAGCTGAACTTGGCTGGCAGGCTAAAAGAGCATGGACACCCCCTGATCTAAATGTTTGACTTCCCCCTGAATCTTCCATCCATTTAACCTCTAAATAGACAGTCCACAGTTGGTCTCTATATAATTTGGGCCCTTATAACACGTGTGGGAAACTTGTGGCTCTCCAGATGCTGTTGCAGTCTGACTACAAGGCTCAGCCTCCATGAACAATGGTCAGAGATGCTGAAAGCTGGCATCCAAGAACATCAGAGAAGCAACACCCGCATGAAAGACAACCTTTCATTCAGAACCAACATCTTGGGTGCCAAATTTTGCAGTACTATAAACTCATCTGGATGAAAAATTGCCCATTTCCTGAGAACAGAGGTGTATTAGGGGGTCTAAACCAGAAAGGTGGCAGGGAGGTCATTAAGGCTGAACAGGTAGGATACTGAACTTAAACAAGGTCCAAAAGCCAGGCCAATTTTTTGAAACTATGTCAGGATCTTACGTATAGCCTCAGTTTGTTAAAGAATGCACCAAAGATCATTGCTTTATAGCTGTTTTCCCCAATTATATTTTTTAGATAAGGGCTGCTTCTACTGTGAGAAATGACATTGTCTACTTTGCTTAAGAAGTTTTGACCCCTGGTCAACCAGGAAGGGAATTTTGCTTGTGACTCACTTGCAGCATCTCCAGCAGGGAGGGGAACTCTGTAAAATCCATTGCTTGTTAGTTTTGGCTTTTGGCATGCATGTGTCCAAGCAAATAGAGCCCTAGAATAAAGTCTATCATATTGCAGTCCTGCAACTGAGGGACATGTGTAAGCTTATCTTTGCCTGATTGTATATTATCTGCATCCACTTTCCATCACTGTATTAAATAAACTGCATTATCTTTTCACACAAGTGCTTTTTTCTCTCTCTGATCATCCTCAAATCTAAATTGAGGTGGCCTTGGCTGGACTATGTCCCTGGGGTAATACAGAGGGCAAGTTGTTGGTGACCTTTTGATTAGCCCCTTTCAACTAATCCATTAAAGGTGCAATGAGATACATGCTTAGCAAGAGAAAGGACCTAAAGCGCCTAGGTTGCTCGGCGTTGTAAGCCTTTCCTCTGCCTAAGCATGCTTCGGGTTGCACGCTATAGCACCTCCTTTACTAGCCCAGTTCAGTGAAATGACTCAGAGATGGCACACAAAGTCGGTGCACACATTTCTTGACAGCATGGCCTCCTGCAGAGGACAAGTGGCGAAGGGAGCTGGAACTGGCTTAGTATGCTAGGCATTAGCAGCATCACACCAAACATGTTCAAAGGCATAAGTGGCAGTGACTCACACATCACCTAGAAATGCATCAGTGCAGAGTACCTGTAATACCTTGAAGATGCTGATTAATCAAGCCTCCACATTTGTCATTGCATGCATACAGCCAGATTCCCACCTTGGTTTCTGACTTCTGAAACAACTCCTCTGAAGATCCTTCCACTAACTGTGGCTCTCTCTGGCACTGACTAACTCAGTTTTTGCTTATTTGCACTGCGGAAGAAACAGTACAGGACTGGGAGTGCCATAAAACAAAACTGCAAGCCAGGTCCACTTCAGGCCCAGAGACGCTTTTGACAAGTTCTTGATACTTGCCCACATTATTTCAAGAGCTGGACATATTGTTCTAAAATGTTCCTTCAAATGGCATCACAATTTGCAATTTTCCAATTAAGCTACCAAAAGCTACATGCTAAATTTAATCAGCATTGGCAGCATGAGATAAAGCACCAGTCAAAAGGGAGTATTTCAGTGGCTGGACTAGATAACATAAGAGTTGGCTGTGTTCTACTGGTGAGTCCAGTCCAAATCCTGATGAGCAGCAGCTTTATTTAGGGAATCCCAGTGAAGAAATAAACACTTCAGAGAACACGACCACATGGCAGCATGGAAAGTGACATCCTGATTCTGTTTTATAGTGATTGTCTGGGAGTCGGCAAAGAGGCAGAAATCTCAACAGCTGGGATGCTGCCCAGACACATCTGGGAGAGGTGCAGTTATAGCTCGATAGACCAGTGGTGGGGAACTGTTTCAGCAGTGGACTCTGTGGCTTCAATGTCAATCGGGCAATGTGGTCCCTGGGTTTTAGTCTGGACTTTAAGGGTGTTCTGCATGGTGCTGAATGCTCTCCCAAAGGTAACTCCCAAGGCTCACTGGTGGATGAGGCTCAGGCAGACTGGGCATGGCCACACATGATTAGTACAATTACAATTCTACTCAGAAGAAAGCAGAGCAAGGCTTTGGCACGTCTGCGCAGACCTAGGCACTGGTGGGAAATAACAGCAAAGGAAACTTGTGGCTGCATAGGTAACCCACACAGGCTCCCCGACCCTTCTGCAAATCCTTCCTGATAAAACACGAGTGTGCCAGCTGCCAAACTATCCTGGCGCAGGTGGGAGGTAAATGATTCCTACTGGGAGAAGAACAGACAGTAGAGCCACTTGGTATAGGCAAGGCCCCACAAGTGGATGACTGTTCACACAGTGGGATTTCCCCCTTGCTCTCCTCCTCCCTGCCGTCCTCCATATGGCTCTGAAATCTGCTCTGGGGAGACTCTCAACATTACAGAGCAGACCCAGGGAGTAAGTATGGAAGCTGCAGAGGGGAGGACAATTCTGGCTTACCTGCAGTTTCTGTTCTGCTAACCAATTGTCTAACCTTGGATACAATCCATTGCTGAAGAACGAACAGCTGTCCAATTTCTGAGTTTGCTTTCCCATTTGAAGAAGATGTGTGTGTTTGTATGACATGCACACTTTATATACAGGAAGAGTGGGTAGGAGAAAGGATTGTGGAGGTTGGGTCTACCATCAGCAGTGTTGACCATAATAACTTATGGAACCTTCATGTCTAGATGTCAGAGACACATAACAAGATACTTGTATGCGTTGTGCCTTTCCTGTGAAAACCTGGAGGTCGCCAAAACACTGGGAGAGATGGTCAGATAGTCTGATCCAGGAAGGCAGTTTGTATGTTAGCAAATTATGTTTGTGAATATTATCGTTAGCCTGTTTCTGGTAACGAAACACTTGGGACATACAGAAAGACTTTTGAAAGGAATTACAAGAATGTCCTTATGTGGGAATGTTCTTTACTTAGAGAACAGGTGCCACTGAGGTGCTGTGTCTGTGAACAGGGACCTAATAAAAAATCTAGAAAGTAGCTACATCTGTGAAGTGTTCCCATATCATGTTTCCACATGGATCAGTATCTGGAGCAGCATCTTTGCTTTCCCTCCTCCCAGAGTATCAGCATCTTTTGTTCCAAGTGAGTCCTGGTCTTCCACACAGAGAGCCAAACCAATCACATGTTTCCAAACAGAGAGCCACAGACCTTCTCGCATACATATGGCCTCTGGAATCCTCTTATCACCATCCGGCATATTTACACGGGTTGGGAGAGGACTGTATCACCAACCAGGTGCTCCTACAACAGCAAGCTAGCTGAGGATGATGTGTAGCCCAAAACCACTCGAGTGAGTCACACTGGGTCAAATCTGAGACCTATCTCAGATTTTCCTGCAAAGGGGGAAGTCGTCCCTGGGAAGCCTATTCTTGCCATGGGAAAAATAACAAGTGCAATAGAGAAGATATGCAAAAGCTGTTTAGGCCGTCCTATAATCCCAAGATTTTCATGCCCCCTTGGCTGAACTTTCTGCCTATATTCCAAGAGTACTTTCCCATGTAATGCTAAAAAGATGTTCATTAGTTGGCTACAGATGCTTTGCATTGCATAATACAGACACCTTTTCACGGAAATGGCTAGAATAAACTGCACAAAAATATTGCACAGAATTTCCTCTTGTCCTTTTGCTCCTAGTTTACTAGCAACTACATCCTTTTTGGATGGGGATATAGCCAAGTTATATAAAAGCTGCACTGAAGGCTACCTTACCAGCTGCATCCAATTATAAGAGTGGTCTTTTCTCTTAGTATTCAAAGGTTATGGGTGAAGATGTTTTTCCCCAATATGCAGGACAGGAAAAATCCCAGTCCTCTTGACTTTTTCATTCAACCTTTTACAATGCACCAAATGCTACACCAAAGAATTCCCCATTCCTCAGGAGCTGTTGGTCAGAAAGAAAAAAAGGGGGAGGGGTGTAGGGGAGTGGACCTGGAAGACCAGAGGGCCCACATGAAACATCAGGCACACTTCCCTGGATTTCAGCCACCATAAGAAACATCTACAGGTTCTCAGTAGGGAACCAACCTACCTTGACAAAAATAGTTGAATTACATTCCTGCAAAGCTTCCATTAAGCTGATCACATGCAAACACACCATTTCAACCATCTGGGGAATAATATGGAAAAATAAAATAAACATACAGTATAACATGGTCATGAATACAAAACTGGTCAATGATAGTATCACCCTCATATGGAAGTTAAATGAGAGCAATATATAACCAGTGATGTTTCAGATTAAATGACCAACACATAAATAGAAGACCAAGTTTACCTTTGGTTAGAATGGTGTCTGTTTGTACAATATTTTTGCTAGTGATGCCACTGAATTTCATAATTATTTCATTTGTTGGGCAAAATTCATATATCGATAATGTTCATTCTTATAGCAAGCTTTGTGACAACAAATTATTCATTCCAGATAGATTGCGAGCTTCAGAACATGGACAGAGTGCATCTAAACTATAGCATTTTGTGCATGCATTCAGGAGGAAATGTGGTGAACCCGCCTTCACCTTTTATGGAAAGGTCAGCATTTGAATTCTTTTGACAAACCACTCACATTCAAAGAAACTACTACCCAGGTTGCATACACTGCCACATATCAATCCTTATATCTCTTCTTCATGAGAACCCTCATCCAAGATCACACAAATTCATTACTTTCTGAGGAAATAAGTCATTTAGGATAAGTTCACCCATCACTAATTTTAACTAGCTTTAGTTCCCACAGCAAATGCAACCAAAAGTCACCTAGCCCTTATAAGTCCTTCTCACTGGACAGCTGCCATTCACTGCAGAGGCAGGAGTTTTATTTATTCATCTATTTTCTACTGGATTTTGTCTGAAGATCTTGCTATCCTAGATCCTATTTCCATTGAGTAGATTCCCTACCCAATGGAAGCAAATTATCATTCTGAATCAGCAGTGAGCTACACATATGTAACTCTCCAGATAGTCCCTCAAACAAAAACATGGCAAAGAAAAGTGTTCTCCATCCTTTGGGTCATTTTATTTATTTAGAAAATTTGTAGGCTGTCCATTACTGTCGTCTCTGTAATAAAGCCCATTTTACATTGTTTGTGATGTACATATCATATACATTTTTGCAAGCCTTGGGTGTTTCCACCCATGATACCAGTCTTAAATTGGTGGTTGCTCTCTGATTAGCCATTGCCTCTCTCCGGGTCTCCAAACTGGAGTCTTTCCCAGTCCTGTCTGTAGAAGCTCAGGTTTGGACAAGGGGCCTTCTGCCTACAGGGCGCGTGTTCTGCCAGGGAACCCAGTCTTCCCTCTGGGATAAGACATAATCCCCCAGAGCTCTATTTTTAAAGGGTACACGATCTGTTGCTTTGGATGAACTTAAGCTTGTACTAGCTCAGATCACTGCATCTGACTCACCACCTTGTTATGTGCCATCAGCTGCAGGATACTCGGTGTCACTCGGCTCCAAAACTCCAAAGCTGTAAGGATGGCTGTAAAGCTAAATTCATTCTGGTTCTGGACTGTGGGAGCAACCGCTGCTTGTTCACAGTATACAGTCCACAACTGAGCAAATATAAAGGCATGAAAGAGGGAACACATGTGCAGTACGGATGTCTGCAGGGACAGAAATATGGAAAATGAAAAGTCATGTTTTTCTTATGCAATCTATTACAGGATGTGCATAACAGAATATTAGAGAACTAGAGTATTGTAATTCCCTGTTCCAACAGCACATACACATACATTAAAGGAACCCTAATCAAAGATGGCTCCATCAAGAATTCCCTCAGTACAGGGCTCAGCTCAACTTGACGTACCTGGAGCTGGGGATGAGAGGTCACATGTTGGAGACTAGTAGCTCTTCATGGGATGGTACCTCACCCTCTGTGGGCAATGGGCATTCCCTGGGGCCACCTACAGGAACTCCCAACTGGCCCATGAAGAGTTGCCGGTCTCCAACTCATAACCCCAGGCATGGCAAAACGTGCCAAATCCTGTACCACATGGACAATCAATATGCCCAAGCTGTACTGGGCTCTGCCTGCAAGTATTTCAGACTCCAAGATCCGGAGCTGCTCCAAAATGTGTCCCAGTTTGAGGCAAGAAGTCTACCTCTGCTTCCCTACCAATCAGCACCCCCCCGCCCCGCCACCTTAGGGACCATGTGCCTGCAATGTGCTCCAGGACAAGCAGCCAAGCATATTTTCCTTCTGCTGTAAGAAAGAAACCAGGCTGGCAATTGTGGGACCTGAACTTAGGGATTCTCTGCAGAAGATTTAACTGGGTGTCATGTCTCTCCTACCCAGGAGGACAGTAGCCAGCCTGTCATTGTTCAGCACGGTGTATGGTCCTCAAACCCCAAAAGCTTCTGAGTTGCAAACTCCTTCAAGTTTTTCTTCAACCTGTGCAGCTTCCCCTTGCACTGTCCAGGAATTCAAGAGTAATCCTACAGCAGCAGCTGCTTTCCTGGGCCTTTGGGTTCATGTAGAGATCTATGAATATGCCTAGCTCAGCCTCACTCCAGAACTGCCCCCAGACTCTCACAAGCAACTTCTCTCCTTCTGACTCTGCTGGGGCCCCAGATGCATCTTAGGGGATTGCACAATGTGAAGTGTCAAATAGCTGCATAAGGTATGATTTTTTTTATTAAAGATGGGAGTATTCCCTTGGCAAATCCTTTGGAAGACATCACTGTAGGTGGGATAAGGAAGGGTGGTGTAGAGAAGGGCCCAGCTCTTGTGCATTACAGCCTGCTTGGATAGATTCATCCAGTTCTGAGGAGGAGAGGCAGAGGTGGGCAGATGACTTGACAGTTTTAAGGTTACCTAGTGCAGGTTCCAGGCAGAGCATGAGAACCAGCCTGCTTGGGAAAAGGAGGAGGGAGACATTTCAGCAATGGGTGGGGAGGAAACTGAGGGCAAGTGTGGAAGGAGGCAACAGAGAATCGGGCGGACCCGTAACAAACCGTCCGGTATTCCCACCATCTAGCCTCAAGCCGCAGGAGCCCCTCTGAGGGTGGAGCCAGGCTTTGTCTGAAAAGGAGAGGGGGTATGTTTGGATTCAACTCTTCAGGTGGGCAGATGCTTCTCCCACATCTCAGAGGCAACACTGCTTTGATTTATGCTGTTTTGTAACCTCTTCTGCCCTGATAAAAGAACTGTGCTTCTAAAGTCCTGTCTACGTCTCCAGGAGAGGAAAAGAGGGAAGGAGAAGCCTGCTCACAACAGGTCATGCGGAAGACACAGCTGAGGGTGGCAGACAAACGAGCTCCTTCCATGTGTCCATGCCACTGACACGTACTCAGTTGGCAAGGACAAGAAAAAATGCTTCACTAGCAAGTGAAGTGGCAAAATTGGCAGGGAAGGAGATGGCCAAGGAGGGAGGGAGGGCATCCACCCACCCATCCATCCATATTAGTTTTCTATGCCATCCCATTACTAAAAGTCTCTGGACGGCTTGCAGAGGGTACAGGCTGTTGCGGCACCATCTGCTCCCAGGCAGTCTTCATGAAGCAAGATCTCTCCCGAGGAGGGAAGCAGCAGCATTTCTGGCAGTCTTCAACAAGCTGTGATGAAATTGGTCTCCTGGGTTCTGATGCCACAATAGCCCGTAAGACAAGCCTTGCATTATTGAGGTGCATTGTTCACAAAAATCGTATGACCCTGTGCCAGGTGCATCAAGTTCAGGTGACACAACAGCTCATTGTGACTCCCGGCCCACAATCAGTTGCTGCATCACGCGAACCCGGCTAGCTGCTGTGGCGATACGGTCACCCCCGCCTTGCAGAGTTCACTGTACCTTGGACTGCTCTGGAAACCCAATCAGGATCACAATTAGATGATCAGCTACATGTGAGCCGGCATCCAGCGGGATAGGCATACACACTGAAGGGGAATTCGGACAGACGACATTATGTGTCAGTGACCCCAACAAGAGCCAGGAGAGCAACCGGATATGAGAAACACACTCGATGAATTCTTTAGGCCTGTTGAAAAAGAACATGTTGCCTTTCAGTGGCTTATTCTCTCAAAGTCTCACCCCCAAAGCTTCAGCTTCAGGTGGATGCATGATGTGGGCATAGCAAAGCACACAGAAGACTGAACTTTCTAGCTGGTTTATTTCTTTCGACATCCATTGAGTAAATACACACTTGCCAATCATCCACTGCAGATTCAGGTGTCTTTCCTCCCCTTTCTTGAAGAGATGTGTTACTGCCTTAGAAATCAAGCACAGCATTTCCTCATGAGGAAAAGCCGACCCCTGCCACATCTAGTGGGTATTTTAGAGAGCTGCCTCACACATGCTTGTTCTCCGACTCATATCTTATGCACTCTGGATTTAATTGGCAGTATCCCTGCACCTTGGCTCAGCAATCCAGGTTTGTCCTGGAAGAAACTGCCTGAAAAGCCGCCCAGACCATGGCTGAGGCCCTGAAATTGCAGCAGCAGCACAGAAGCCACAGGGTGACTTTAAGGAGAAGTGTGGTGCCGCTAGTGATGTTGCACTAGCGTAAACAACATTAGCACAATGCCATTCGTGACTGCTGGAGCAAAGAGCGGCTGCTCGCTGCTCTAACCATCGCTTTCCCCCTTTGTGCTATCAAATGGCAACTGCGTTGTGCTCCTGTGGGTTTATGCTAGTGCAAAGTCACGGGGACTTGCTTAGCATGGGAACCTCCCATGGAAGAAATGTGCGTCTTCAGCTGCTCCCTGTGATTGCAAAAAAACACAAATATCTCCTTCATTGCTGCACCACCACTTGGATGGCCAGTCCCCAAGGGGCCTTGAACTGACCGGTCACATGCCTGGAGATCCAAACCTGAGACTTCCCCTTCCCACACAGGCTGCCAAAGCCAAGCACTCCCTGAGGATCCTTGATGACCGTCCTGCCTTTTATGCATTTTATGTGATGCAGCTCTAGATAGCCAGCTGCATGTAAAAAGAAGCAAGGTGCAAGGAATCTCTCTGAGCCTTCCGTTCTGTTGCCAGCACCAAGCCGTTCCTCTTGGTTTTTTGTTTTTAATCTCAGGGGTGGGGAAACTTGAAAATAGTCCATGTCCATAGCATTTTTCTAACTTCTGGCAACCAATAAAGAAGCAAAGCCTTTTAGCTTCCTCTCCCTCTGAAATCAGGTCATTATAGCCATCTTCTTCCCTCTTTCCATTTTCACCCCTACAGCCTCCCCTTTCCACTGGCACCCAAGCTTCCTTGGTTGCATAGCTTTCCAATGGCCATGCCATTGGCACAGCATCTCCTCTTTATCTGGCACGCCCTATTTTTTCAGCCTCCATCTTTATCTCTTAGGCCTTTTCGAGCTGGAATTCTGTTCTGTTCAGTCAAAAAGTTGTGCCCAACTCTTTGTGACCCCATGAACAACATTCCTCCAGGCTCTCCTGTCCTCCACCATCCCCTGGAGTCCACCCAAGCCCACACCCACCTCTCCAGTGACCCCATCCAGCCACCTCAACCTCTGCCATCCCCTTCTCCTTTTGCCTTCAATTGAGCCGGAACACTGGCTGCTATACCAGTGCTCCAGGCGTTGGATATATAAACCAGGCAATTTTTCTCTTCTGCAATTGGTGTGCATGTGTGCCTGTTGCAGCACAAGTATGTATGTGTGTATACAGAGAGAAAGAGAATGTTTTTAGACCTTCAAATAGCATTTGAGCGAATGTCCCCATTTTAGAAGTTGTGTAATAATGGGATGGTGCATAAATCTACCGCTGTTCTGTTCCACTATTGACCAATTGCACCTTACCCCTGTTGCATTGCAGATGGAGGGTGGTACAGCCAAGGCAGGTAGCGAATCACAGCTTTGTTATCCCTGTGGTTGCCACGTGAGATTTCCATTGCAGCGATCTGAGCTAAGCCAACCTTGAGATGTCCGCCAAAGGTGTCCTCGTGCAGTGGCTGGGAACATGTTTTCATATGACTCTGTGAGGCAAGGACATCCAGCACATTAAAAGAATTAAAAGGAAAATGCTTAGATATGAAATGTATTTTAAAGGACAAGGGTGTTATTTAATTCAGCAAAAAACATTGCATTCACTTGCACTAAAGAATGAAGATTTCCATTACAAAAGTTGCATTAAAAAACCCCACATCAGCAGAGGCACTTTAGCCCATCAGAGAGATGAAAACCACCAAAATTAATACAAGTCACTCATTTAAAGTGGCCAAATGATGCACTAGAAAGCATAGGGGTATTCCAAAGACTTAGCCTACTGTCAAAAATGCATTAAATTTGGTGCCAGGTAAGTCTTCCTGGGGAGCACCTTTCACATGCGGAGTGAGACAAGAGATCAAGCCTACTCTGCAGTCACCACTGCCCTTCCTTCAGAAGGTGAAGGGACTTGGAGAGCCTCTGTTACAACAAGTAGGTGCATTTACATGGGAGTAGCGACCCAGAGCCAATTAGGGTACCTGAATGTAGAAATGAGCAGGAATAGTCCACTAGAAGTAAACGATTCTGCGGCAGTATCTAATTTGACATGACCACTAACGTAAATTGCACTGCATTATCACGCACAACTTCAATAGCATTTATTGGCATGGTGGGTATTTCAGAGAAACCCTTTCAGCCAGCGAACACTTCTTGTCATCAGATGAGAGTCTGCTGATGCCAGCACTACATAATTTATGTTAGTATCTGCGTCCGGTAGTTAAACATCCTGTATTCTTATTATTTTCAAGGCTAGCAAGGCTGAAGAATTCTAGACATAACTAGAGCTTTTAGGTAATGCTGAGCAGAAGAGTGGCATTCACTGAGCAGAAACAACCTCAAATGTTGCTCTAAGAAACAGCCTCACAAAAGGAGGGGGTGGCTGGTAGTGTAGGTGGAAGTCACACCAACAAACACCACACGCAAACTTACAGAGTCAAGGCAAGCACCAGGCGACTGGGGCTCCTCCCACTTTGGCTCTTCCTTCCTACTTTAGGGACGTGGCCCCTGCAAGGGTCCCCACAAGGGAATGTGGGCCTGGGCAGAAGAAACTTCCCACCCTTTTTCATCATGTTCAACAGTACCATACTTGCCCAGGTCATCGGGAGGACATGGGCCTAATGCACGTTTCAGAACATGCGGAGCATAGCCAAGGAACTGAGAACTGTTTTGCTCAAGGGAATTCTCAAAACGACTCCAAGATATCCTATTCAAAAGAGGGTGGGGAATTCAAAATTCCACTAGGCTGACATAAGCTCTTTGCATGAATTTCAGTTGCTCTTTGGAACCTGGCAACTATTTTCTACTCTGTGATTCCCATAAAATATTATTCTTTCTATAGTCTTCATTACAGGGCATTACTCTGTATAGCCTTTCCATGTAATATGAACATAGGCTTGAAAAACCATCTCTTTCCTAGAGGTTCTCCCCACTCTATGGGCAGCCACAATGCAGGACTGCAATGGTGCAATACAACCATTTCAGCTGATGTCTCTGAATGCCATACTCACCTTCAGTTTGGTCAAAGTATGCATATCCGCAATGAAATCCAGAACTTCCCCAATATACTGCCTCATGCATTCCATCGCTGCAGTTCCGCACTGAAACATGGAAGGATAATGGGTCAGATTTAAGGATTCCCAGGCACAATAATAAAAGGAAAATTCCCTCTTCTCCCTGCCCCAAACTCAAGCTGAATCCTCCAGCAGATCTTATACCAGTTCTGGAAGATGACCAGTCCCAATGAGAAGATGTTTACTGCCTGAACTAGGAGAAGACTTATCATAGCATATAAGACTGAATTTGAGGTGCGCGGAGCCAGTATCTCGACAGGCATGTCTACAACTACAGGCCTAAGCTGGTTTCACAGCCATGCCCTCCTCTATATCAGGGAATATAGTAGGTTAGTAGCTTCACAACCTACAACTCTCAAGACTCTTTGGCTGGAATCAGGGCAGTTCAACAGGCATAAAACCAACATCCTCTGTGGTGTCAGTAGTACTTCTGAAAAGAAAGCACACAAAGACAGTATTCAGCGCAGAGGTGTGGAACTCCGGCTAGGAGGCCAAATGCAACCTGGCTTTCCGAGGCTTCCCAGATGGCCGCACCCCCTTCCTTAGCCTCACCCCTTTATTATTTATTTATTTTTTAAAAGTGTTTATATGCCATCCCCACTGCTACACAGCCTCGGGACGGCTCACACCATGAGCCGTCCCATGACCACTAATCATGTTCCAGCTTTTGTGTGATGTTTTTCTCATTCTAAAAGAATGCTATGCCTCTCTCAAGACATAATTATGTGCAGTGCGGTTTTTTGAAGCTGAGACAAACTGGTGCTTTGGCCCAGTTTTCCCTGCAGTCCTAAAATGTGGGTCCTAATTGCTACTCCAAAATGCAATTCAATCCTCAGGCAGAAAAGGTTCAATGCCTCTGGTTACAACTGTGTTGCAAAAATTTGTTGCTAAACTCTTTGACCTGGAAGAGCTGTGCTGCATTATACTGCACCTATCTAAAGACTAGACCATTAGGCAGTGGAGACAAATGGCAGGAATGTGTACCTAAGCCTCTTTTTTCCAACCATGGCAGCACCTTACATGGGAAAGATCTATGTTCAAAACCCTCTTCAGGCGTACAACGTCAGAGGCACTGCACATCTGGTGATCTGGTGTTTCACAGGCATTTGATGTGACAAACACTTTAAAATGGAGCTATATATTCCCAAACTATTTGGGGCCTGCACTAGAAAACCAGGACTGGGAAACCATTTCTCTTTGCATGCTTTTATTTTGCTTTTTAATTATTACATTTAGGGGTTCCTTTTCTTCCTTTTCTTTCTTTTCTTCTCTTGCAAGGAATCCAAGGCGACCTAAATTATCCTGTTTCTGGGTAGTTCCGATCTGTGCCTGGCCCAAAGTCGCCCAGTGGGCTTCATGGCCAAGTGAGGACTGGAGTTCAGACCTGAGCTCCAATCCAGTGGTCTAACCATTACACACACTGGCTGCATGGAAACACAGACCTTCCCATCGTACTTTACATGCTTCCCACCAGTGACACATCGTAGTGTACCTGGGCTGCATGCAAGAAATGGGGATTTTAAAAATATCATTAAATGACCTTAAACAAGACAATACTTCCAGGCTTCCATTCCCTATTTTTAGAAAGTGGATAGAGAACAGATCCATGAGGTAATGACTGTAAACCATTTAGGATAGTATAAGCAATTGATTAATCTCAGTCCAAACTATGGTACGTCAGAGGCAATTTACAGCTCCATTCTAGTGCTGTAGCTTCACTGACTGCAGTAGGGCTAATAGTGCTGTTAAGTGGATCTAAATTTTCTTCCATGCATCTAGCATCAGCCACAACCGACTGCTAGAGAGTGTATTTGTGGTTGGGGATCAGAATGCGTCTGGTCAGTTTTGTAACAAAATACTCAGCCTTGACTCCCCTCCCAACCCAAGATAATCAGCTTATAAGAAGAACAAATTACAGCTGTTTGACAAGGGATCAGTCGAATCCATAAACTGAGATAGCCTCGATGGAGCTTAAGTTCCTGAAATTTGGAGGGGGAGAGTAAGAGGAGAAAAGCTGCTCAAATTTGGTATTTTGGTTGCTGACCCAAGTGCTTCTCGTTTCACTATGTTAATATCAAATCTGTATGGAGGTGAACTACTCCACCTTCTGTTCTCTCTACTGTTATGCCTGTCAGTCTACTTGACAGGACAACAAACAGTAAAAATAAGGTCACAGCAAACCCTGTCAGAAGGTCCTCCAACTTGCAATGAGTTTGGATGAAGGATTCCATGCACAGCTTCTTTCCAGCTGAGTGATGGAATAATAAAATGTGTTAGATATTGGCCTCTGGAAAGCTAGTGAAGTTTTCAGGTTCTTGCCTCCTTTTTATTTAGTTGTTCCCCTTTGCACAGAAAATGTGGATTGTAAAGAAAATAATTCACACTCCTGTCATCTTAACTCAAAGAACCAATAAATCGCCTACCTGGGCAGTTATGCTGCTCATCTCGTATTGTTTGGAAAGTTTGGAGGTCCCCCTCTCTGTCACCAAAGTGAGAAAGTGGGTGCATTTGAGGTCTCCATTTAGACTAAGATTCTTCCATGATTAGCATAGACTTATGATGGACCTCATTCTGTCCCTAAAATAAATTTCACGGCATAGAAACTAGCAGATTTATTGTGGAAAAAGCTTCCTATGTCATCAGATGGAAGGCAGCCTGCAGACGATGACCCTAATCCTTAATGCTACCTACTTAGCCACCTTTGTCACATTCATGACATGCTGGCTGACATCAGGAGCCAAGTATTTGTTAAATGAACTTGATCCCCCCATTGCCACATGCTTTTTCCAGGCAGGAATTAGGTGTTACATGAAAACATCAGAGGAGGTGTTCTGGCTGAAGCCAAAGGTCCATCAAGTTCAGCGGCCAGTTCCTACAGTGCTCATGGGAAACCTACAACAGGACAAGAGAGCAACAGCACTCTCCTGCCCAGGTTCCCCAGCAACTGGTATATATAGGGATACTGCCATCAGGACTAGTAGTCAATGATAGCCTTGACCTCCGCATTTATTTGCCCAATCCCCTTCTAAACCCAACCATATTGGTGGCCATCCCTACACCTTGTGGGAATTCATTCCATCATTCATGCACTGTGTGAAGAGGTCCTTCTATTGGCCACTTTGGATGACAAGGCAGTCATCTTTTTCCACTCATGAAACAGAGTATTCACTGATTCTTTTGCCATCATCTTTTTCCTCCTCCTCTTCCTCCTCTTATAAACTACATATCCATTATTTTGGGGGGCAATGGGAGGGGGTCAAAGCACCCCCTCTCTGTCCCCAAAAACACCTTAATCTTTACAGGATGGTGCTTCAGTGGCCAAACTTTATATTGGGTACCACAGTCTTGCCTAAGGAAATGTTCACCCCTTCTAACGGGGAAATGAAAAGCTGCAAGCTAGCTTTCTCCAACACGGTGCCCTTCAAATATATTGAACCACAACTACTATCATCCCCAGCCAGAACAGCCAATCTGGTTTAGGACAGTAGCACTAGTACATCACCACAGAAGGAGGAAGGCCGTGCACTATATAATTCCAGGGGGAGTAGCAGGCATTGCCACAACTGAACTGAACTGAAAGGTAAGCAGAGAGAACATTGGAAAGCAAAACGCAGAGGATCTTGTTTTAGTACTTACCCCAGGAATCGAAGCTATCATCTGCTTGTGCAAGATCATTGACTCTGCAAGCTTTGTTCCAGCATCTGCACAAACAAACTAATGAGAAATAAAAGATTAACCAATTTTGTGGAGTGGGGTGTGGTGGAAGAGGTGAGTGGGTGTGCAATAATGCATCATGCTTTCATTAGACTAAGTAATGTCTCGCTAACATCCAGGCAAACTTTGCTGGATGGAATATCATATACTGTGAACAAGCAGCACAACCCACCTGAATTCAATGGGCTCTACTAAAAGAATGGCAAGGAATGGATTAAGGTTCAACAGGCCGTGTGATTAACCTTCTCAGTGTTCAAAAGCCAGGGTAGTCTCTCGAAGCCATGGCAAGGCATTTGGATGTCAGCTGGTTAGAAAGATCACGATTGCCTTGGGGCTGCCTTCCCATTCCTTCTATAGATAAGGCACCTTTGCGGGGAACAAGACTGCTTGCCTTCCTAAAGCAGCTTGGTCCCTCCCCTCTCTACCAAGAAGGTGGGTTAGATCCTGTGTGTACTGGCAGTTTCTGAAACAGGGGAGAGAAGGGCTTCATGCCATCCCTGGTGTTGTCTTTTGTTCTCAGTGTGGAGAGAGGAACTGATGTATTGCTTGCCCAAGCAACTTTGGGCCTATTCAGGGATATTTAGGGAACCAAGAGGCCAAAGAGAAGGGAAGTGCAACCCTACTTTTCCTTGTCTATAGCCCACATCCATATTTCATCACTCTGTGCAATAAACCGTGTATCATCCTTGACACAGGTGCTTTCATTTCATCCTAAGTATCCTTGAAGCGAGCATGAGGCGCCTTGACTGGACCAGACCCCTGGGGTTAAAGCATCACCATTATCCACAAATCAATTAATCAAAATCTACTCCTTTTAGAAAAAGCACTTTATGATAAAGAAATTAAGATGTGGATTCTTTCTGCCTCTGTCCTCAGCTCCCTGCGACAGCAAGCATAAAGTCAAAAAGGATTTTTCTATCAAAGATCATTACACAGCATGCAGCCCTGGCGGTGTTATGTCAATTAGAGTTCCAATGAACTCAGCACAGGCTTTCACTCCACAGCAAAACATTTACCCTCACTGGGAACTCATTCTTGTTTTTCTTACTGAGTGTGAGTCCTTCTGGCTGCTCTATACACCCACTTTAGGAACCCCTCCCCCCAAACTCTGAACATCCCCAAAGCACCATTAAATCCATTATTACAAAAGGGAAAGAATATGGCTCAGCCATGACTCTCTGTAGGGAAGGTTGTCCATCAGAACTCAGTGGCCAGGCATGGAGGGCATTAAGCAGAGAAGTTAACCAAGAGGCCAACAGTAGTTGTAGTTTAGAAAGGATACAATGGGAGCGGCAATATGGTGTACGTGTGTGGTGGTGGGGAGTGTCTAGGCAAGCGAATGGTGGCCCTGTCCACTGGTGGCCTTTTCTACACACTCACCTGGAGCCAATGCAGCCTGTGGGTTGAAAAAGGATCTCCACCACTTTAATAGGTGGTGAAAATATGGCATTGTGTTGTATATGATTGAAAACCATCTCCTGCTTAGGGGTCTTTCTCACACTGAATGTGCATATGCAGTGAAGGAGGCACCTGGTATTCAAGGGGAAGATAGATATTAGATGCACCACTCAGCAAATTAACAAACTGGCTTCCTCCATCAGCACCTGTCCCCTACTAAGCAGAGGGGAAAGATGGCACTGGGCTCACTCCGGGCAGTCTCTCCCTTTCCCATGATCAACATGCTGGTAAGAGGAGGAAGGGTGTAAGGCTGGGCATGCCTCATGAGTCATGTGCTATGAGCAGCCATAATATAAATTATGGAAGATTCTTTAAGCAGCTCTGCCACTGAAGAATATGGAGCCCTAAATATGCATGGAATGTTCTACTGGTCATGCTATGAAGACTCATGAGAATGGAATTTCATGAAACTTTTCATGGAATGTTCTACTGGTCATGTTATGAGTGATGGATGAGAATGAAGAAGAGGAAGAGGAGGAGGAAAAAGATGATGGCAAACTCCAGCAGGTGAATACTCTTTTTCTTGAGTGGAAAAAGATGACTGTCTTGTCATCCAAAGGGCCAATACTTCCAATGAGACAAGGAGTAAGATGCATTCCAATCACACAGACAGGCTAGAAACAAGATACTGTTCCTTGCAGAAGTATTTGCCCCCTTTGACTTTGCCACATATTTGTGTTACAGCCTGAAACTGAAATCGGTTTTTTGGGCATGGCTGCCACTTGATGTAAAGAATACCATCCTCACCATGAAGTGTGGTGGTGGCAGAATCATTACCATGAGGAAGGTTTTCTTCTGCAAGGACTGTGGAACTGGCTGGGATTGAAGGTGAGATGGTAAGAGCCAAACACAGGGCGATTCTGGAGGAAAACCTGTACGTCTGCAAGGGACCAGGGGCTGGGCAGAGTTTAAACCGCAAACACACAGCCAAAGTAATGCTGGAGTGGTTTAAGAATCTGGATGTCTTAGAATCGCCTAATCAAACCCCAAACCCCAAGCTGGTTGATTTGTGGCAAGAGGTGTGTTCACCGAAGGTCCCCAGCCAACCTGACAAAGCTGGAGTAGCTCTGCTACGAAGAATGGGCAAACCAGGCACGAACCAGCTGAGCAAAGCTGATACTTACGCAAGAAGGCTCGCAGCTGTAGCTGCTGCCAAAGGTGCTTCTACCAAGTATTGACTAAAGGGGGCAAATCTTCATCCAATCATCCAGTGTCTGTTTATTTACTTAGTTTTTGTCTCAGAATAAAAATATTTTGCATCTTCACAGTATTGAATATCTTAGGTGGTAGCAATGTCAAAAAAAAAAAAAAAATCCACTTCAGTTCCAGGTTGTAACACAAAAGAATGCGGATGAGGCAAAGGTGCAGCGGGCAGGGGGAGAATGCCTTTGTAAGGCACTGTAATAAGTAGAGGATAAGGGGACAAAAGACTTATGGCCATTAACATTCTTAATGCGTGTTCATGTGTCCCTGGTCAGGCTCAGACATGCTCCTTTTGCACGTCCTGATAATCAGCCACATGCGATAACTGAACGTGCACTGAGATCATTTCAATGCAAACAACAGCTATGCATCTGCACAGAGCAACCGTCATCTCCTGCTTATCTGATATTTTCTGACATTAAATGTTTTTCATAATACTATCTGTGTCCCTCCAGGAAGTGGAGTGGGTCTCTGCCTGGCATCATGAGGAAAAGACAAAATGAGCTAAACAAAGGCCCCACATCTTTCTGAGGAGCCTCACCATTGCCCAGATCAGCTCTGTGCAAGGCACCAAAATGTCACCAACAACAGATTTAATGTCAGTGGTGTAAAGGGAAAGCCACTCAGCAAAAGGACAGATAAGGGATCCGTGCCTGCTGGGTCTCTTCCTGGAAAGCTGGTGTCTGTGATAAACTGCTGGTAAAGGCTTCAGGGATAAGTGGGGCTGGGGGAGCAGAGCCCGTTCGATGCAGGTTTGGGAACAGAAAGAAAGAAAGGGTCCTGGCAACAAGATGGTAGTCCAGTGAGAAAGGCCTCTGCTAGCTGGTGGATCTCTGTGAGGGCATCAAAGGGACTTTCAGTCTGAACGGTCTCTGACCACCTAGAGGTGCTCTTTATTTATCAGATGTATATCCAACCCTTTTCTTATAATAAACTCAAAGTGGCTTACATCATTCTCCTCCTGCTCACCATCTTATCTGCACAACACCCTGTGAGGTAGGCTGGGCCGAGAGTCTGCAACTGGCCCAGAGTTACCCTGCTGGCTCCATGGCCTTAGTGTCAAAATCTCCCTGATATTCAAGATGAGAACATAAGAAGAGCCATGCTGGATCAGGCCAAAAGCCTTTTGAGCCCAGCATTCTGTTCAAGTGGTGGCCACAAGCAGGACAGGAGCACAATCACACATTCCCACTTGTGTTTGTCAACAAATAGGATACAGAGCATTCATCTCTGACTCTGTGACTGGGAAGGATTTCAGCAAAGATGTTGAGGGATTTGGAGGCCATCTCTATAAGGAAAACTTGAGGGAGCTGTGTATGTTCAGTATGGAGAAGAGGCATTTAAGAGGGGACACGACTGCCATCTTCAAATACCTGAAGGGATGTAACATCCTTGGTTAAAGGGAGCAGAAGGCTATCTATGACTACCAGTATTGATGGCTATAGGCTACTTCCAGTATCAGAGGCAATATGCCTATGCACAATTGCTGGGGAACGTGGGATAGGAGGCACTCATATCTTACTTGTGGGATTCTGTGGGCAGTTGTTCTGCCACTATGTGAACACAGTACAGGATGAAATGAACCACTGGTCTGATCAAGCATGGCTTTCCTTAAGCTCCCTGATGAAAGAGCAAATGGTTTTCATCACTCCAGAGAGCATGATCCAAACCAATTACAAGGGAGAAGATTCCCACTGAACATTAGGAGGAAAGTCCTGATGGTACAAGCTATTCAACAGTGAAGCAGATTGCCTTGGAAGATGGTGGACTCTTATTTACTGGAGGGTTTTAAGCAGAGGTTGGATGGCCACCTATCAGGGACGATGATTCAGTATAAAGGGTTTTCATATGCTAACATAAGCTAACATAAGCAGCCTCTGGGGAGAACATCTACATCTCCTGTTTAGATACATTCACCCCACACCCTTGGACTTCTTTAATTCAAACTGGGAAGCTCAAGAATTAACATCTATTTGCTTCTGAAGCCTATGATATTGACCATGACACAGTGTGTGACCATATTGTGACTCAGCAGACAATCTGTTGTCATTAATTATCAGAGAAAAGTTGTTGGCAAGGAGGAGGTGGATTCTAATCCATATGCAGCACCCAATGATGCCCATGACTAACAGGACCTACTCTAGTATGACAAGAACCTGGTGGTCCTTGAAGCAACCACAAATGAGCCAAAATGCTGGTTTCCAGAATAGGGCAGGTCAGCAATACTGGCAGAGGTTCCACCAACTTGTCCTCCTCTGGAAATGAATGTCACCTTCCTGTTGAGCAAGTGGTCAGTCCCACGCTGGCAACAGAACAGGTGGAAGTGCAGCAGAGGTAGA